GAGATAGAGAGTTATCGATCTGCTGCCTCTTGCACACCCCCCACTGGGGATATGCCCGCAAGCAAGGCACATGCCCTTGACCGGAATCGAACCCGGGACCTTTCAGTCCCCAAGCCGACGCTCTATCCATTGAGCCAAACCAGTTTCGGCTAATTTCAGTTCTTAACAATACTGTTTTCTATTATGCCATACTGGTTGGTTAGTCAAGTTCCTCACAATAGGTAACATGCCTGACCAGTGTTGCTCAGTGTTTAGAGCGTTGGCCCTTGAAAGGGGAGTGAGGGTGTGTGTGTGTAAGAGACAGAGAGAGAGAGAGAGAGAGAGAGAGAGAGGGAGGGAGGGAGGGAGGGAGGGAGGGAGGGAGGGAGGGAGGGAGGGAGGGAGGGAGGGAGGGAGGGAGGGAGGGAGGGAGGGAGGGGAGTTTGATTCCTGGTCAAGGACGGGTAACTAGGTTGGAAGTTTGATCCACGCCTCTGTCCAGGCTGGTGCAAGAGGCAATCAATAAGTGTATATCTTTACATTAATGTTTTTGTTTCTCTCTCCTCTCTCTCTCTCTTTTCCACCCTCCTTCTTTCCATTGTCTCTCTGAAAATCAATGGGAAAAAATATCCTCACTCCTTGAGGAAGATTTAAAAAAAAAAAAAATCACCCAAAACCAGGCAAATGTATAAGATGAAACCACTTTTTTAGTTAATGTTATTATTTCTAGACTCATTGTGTCGAGCAAATAATGATATTTTTCTTTTTTTAAAAAGGGGGGGAGATTATTTTATTGAATGTAACTTCTGTCATATGGAGCTTTGTGGTAAGATCACTGTAGTAAGAGAAGAAATTCAATTCTCATTTCTCTGACTTCACTCAGAATTAATAGATATTCTCTGAAATATTCCTCCTGTTTATGAGGCTTTTGAGCAAGCTGAGCCATAAATTGGATGTGCTATGATTTCTACAACATATAGTTCTTCATTCAGTCTGTTCTTATCTCAGTTCTTTAATGTCTAGCAACGAAACATATTCTTCCCTCTGCCTCTTAAGATCTTGGCTCTCACAAACCCCTTCTTGGCCCCACTCTTGAGATTCTGATTGGGTTTGGCAACTTGCATTTTGAGCACTCATTGAAGCCTGTGTTTGACTACTACAGTGTTGAAACCCACAATAAAAAGATGCTTTTAATACTTTTTGTTTTTTTCTTTCATTTACTGAATAGAATTCCAGTACTGTTATGTACTAGGTAATATGTGACAGAAAAAAAAAAAAAAAGCAAAGCATAAACTCTGTATGTATGATAATTTATGTTGGACTTACTTACAGTGGTTCTTAATTGTGACTGCTTATTGGAGTTACTGGAGAGCTGTTTATAATACTTGTGGGAGCTGGTGTAGACCAATTAAGTCAAACACTCTGGGAATGAGCCCAGACACTTGTAAATTTTAAAAAGAATGTGATACCCAACACTAATCACAGAGCTATTGCATTATGGAAAATGACAGTGTCCTGTAGGGTCAGATTGACTATATACTTAGTTAAATCACTTAATTGGGTCATTTAAGATTTTAATCTTGGTATCTTAGATAATAGTACATAAATACATCCTAGTGCATAACTTTTACTAATATATTACCTTTGTATAACATTATTATACTTTATAAAACTTTTATACTTGTATTATTTTACTGATGTTTGTAACTACTCTGTTTTAAACAAAATTATCCCTGTTTTAAGGTTCAAATTTAATAATCTTCCAAAGCCTTGTGACCAGTAAGGGTTAGCAGTTGAGATAGAATATAGATTCTGTGCTATCTGGGTTAATACTTTCTTAAACACCATGTAGTTACAGGCACCTTAAATATTAAAAGAAAAAATTTAAATCCCATAAAATGTACCAGCTCATATATACTCTTTTTACAGCCTTTACATTTCTGAGACTATTTTTATGATCCTGAAACCTGTATTCTCTTTTATTTAGAAATCAGGCTTCATGTCATTTATTTTTAAAGTTGTTGATTTGTTGAACTTTTTTCTCCTAAGAAAACTTAGAATTGAAATATGACTTATGGCCTTACCAGGTTTGGCTCAGTGGATAGAGCCCTGGCTTGAGGACTGAAGGGTCCTGGGTTCGATTCCGGTCAAGGGCACATGCTTGGGTTGCAGGCTCGATCCCTCGTAGGGGGTGTGCAGGAGGCCGACAGTCAATGATTCTCATCAATGATGTTTCTCTCTCCCTCTCCTTTCCTCTCTGAAATCAATTAAAAAATATATATATATGAGAAATATGACTTGTGTATTAGAAAGTGTATGTCATAAATGGTTTATCAATATGAATTTCCACAAAATGAATACACACCTTGCATCCACATCAAGAAATGAAAGACTTCCTTGAAGCCCCCGCCTTCAAATAAAAGGAACCTACTATTCTGAGGCATTTCTACTCAGAGTAGAAAAGGAGACGACTGAATTTTAGTTGAATGGACTGTATAATAAACAGGGCTACATTTGAAAAACCTAATCTTTGGCAGTTATCAGAGGCCACATTTTCGGGCCAGAGCAGTTGGCTTCCAGATCATCTGAGCAGCTTCTCAGCAACCCCTTGTAAAGGGTCACTGAGGAAAGTTAACACACAGCATTCCGTGATTTGGTGAGTGCCGATTTCACCCGATTTCTTGTTAGCAAAACTTCCAACTACTTTTTTATCCCATTATCTTCCCATTTTTGCACACAGACCTTTTGAATTTATGAGGAATTAGAGCTGAACTGCTCCTTCCAAGCCAGTGACTTGTAGATTTGTGGAAGATGATTTAGGTGTGTTAGTTAGGAATCCTTCTAATACTCTTATTGTTGACATCAGTGGTGTCTAATTTATGTAGACCTGTCTGTTATCTAGACCATATCTCCACCCATGGGATTCTTACCGGACAATGGAAGGATCCTTGTTTTAGCAGTTCAGTTTTGTAGGAATTTTGTGGTCATTCAGTTTTCTTTGTCATAGTTTCTAAATTTCTGCCAGGCACTGTATTTAGTGTTGAGGATATGAAAATGAATACACAGCTTCCGTCAGTTTTATCTTTGAGGTAGGAGGGAGCTATTGTCTCTGGACACCTTGTAGCATCTTTCTGTCTCCAGAATCCTGTCATATTTTTATCTCTGCTTAGGGATTTCATTGTAGTGCTTAACTAGCTGTCACTCCCTCCTTTTGAACCACTGACAGTCTTATACTTTGAAGATTCTGCTGTGAAAGTTACATCTCAATGGTTGCTAAAACTGCAATTTGTCATCTTGATGCCACTTGAAACAAGTGGCATATCCTTCTTGTATTTGTTCCTTTGTTCATATTAGCCATGCCATCTTTCTTTTTCTGTGTTGCATTTGAACAGAGCATGATTTTGAAAGCACAATGGGCTCTGAACTGGCAGTTGAAAGGTGTAAGCATGTCAAGGTATGAGCCCCCCTTTCTGGGCTAGAGATCTTTAAGGACTACTCTGAGAGCATTTGTTTATTTTGCATTTGTAAGCCTACCCAATCACAACTTTGTACCTGCCGAACCGGCCCCCATTATTGAGTTCTCCCCAGTGAAATTTGTTGTGGTGACTGGACATGCTGTGCAGCAGCTCTCATCTTTTTCCGATTGGATTTTGCCTTTTACCTGAGCTTTACTTGGTCTAGGTGTGTTTATTCTCCTTTAAACTGCAAGTCAGTTGCGGGGACAAGTGAGGTTGCTTCTCTCTACTTTTACTAAAACAGTAGTTACTTATTACTCTTTGGTAAGATTGTACCAAGCTCTCTGTACCACATTAAGTCACTGTACCAAATCTTCTCTTCCTTTTGGAAATCAAGGCACATTTGCTTTATATGTCCAGGTCTTAAGTGAGGGTGTTGGTAAGAGGACACAGATTTAATTTCCTTGGATCACAGATTGGACATCAATGTACTTGACATCACAATTCTTTTGGGTCCAATCTTTCATTAGCCACAGTTTGAAACACTTTAAAGATAACTTCTTGCCGAAACCGGTTTGGCTCAGTGGTAGAGCGTCGGTCTGCAGACTGAAAGGTCCCAGGTTCGATTCCGGTCAAGGGCATGTATATTGGTTGCAGGCACATCCCCGGTACGGGGTGTGCAAGAGGCAGCTGGTCGATGTTTCTCTCTCATCGACATTTCTAGCTCTCTATCCCTCTCTCCTCCTCTCTGTAAAAAATCAATAAAATATATTTTAAAAAATCAATAAAAAATATATTAAAAACAAACAAACATTTTTATAAAGATAACTTCTTTTGCATCACCGATTCAGTATAAACGAGGTAGTCTCAAAATAATGTGGTATGGGGCAGGCCAATAGAAGAAGACAACACTTATTGGTGAAAGAATTTCATAGCTGGATTTAACATGTTTTGAAGGATTAAAAATGTTATATTTAAGGTGATTGGTGAATTATTGATGAACTGTGAGACATAGGTGGAACTGGGGTGGTGGTGATAGTACAAATGCGCAGGGCTTATATACCAAGATAAGAGTAATTGATCTTGAATGATGTCATACTACACTTAGTTTAATATTCAGAAGGGGGAATTTACCTAGGCAGTGTGGAGTAGGAGATTTTTTTTTGTAGATTTAACAGTTTTTCAACTACATTATTAGCTGCCATACCTGGATCTTCTTATTCATGCTATTACATAGAGTTAGATTTGAGAATAGAAAAGTAAGACCAAGAGATACACAGTTTTGGCTGGGCTTTGGGAAGAAAGGAAAAATAAAGTGGGATGGTGGGACATGGGGCATGGTAAGACTGTCCTAAACTGTAACATAAATGTATGTCTGTCTCCCCTATTTGGCAAGACTTTCTACAGTGTTCCTGCCTTTTTGTTGTCTGTTATTAGGTTGTAATGTATTAAAAGGATCTAGACACTATCCTGTCCTAATTAGCATGTAGTGTAGTCTGGTGTCCATAGTGGTTGCCCACTATCATTAGTTGATGATTAGTGAAGCTGAAGCTATTTTTTAAACAGGGCCCAAGGGATGCAGACAGTGATGAAAACGACAAAAATGAAAAGAAGAACAAGGGTACGTTTGATGGAGATAAGCTAGGAGATTTGAAGGAGGAGGGTGATGTGATGGACAAGACCAATGGTTTACCAGTGCAGAATGGGATTGATGCAGACGTCAAAGATTTTAGGTTTGTATGTTTTACACTTCTGATTTTTGAATGGGGGCTATGGGTTTTTGTTTTGATTAAGTTTTTTTTTTTTTAAATTTTACTTTAGTTTTCTTTTGTGTTCCTTATGTGTTCTTTTTAAGAATTGGGTCTAGTGTAGGCCATACTACAAAGATTATAAATTGATTGGTAAGGTAGAATTTTCTAAGATTTGTCAATGCCTGGTGCTTTGCTAAAACAACAGATTTTGCATTTGTATAGGACTATAGTTAGTAGATTAATTCCATAAAGAACATTCCATGATTCTCAAATATCAAAATTACCTGGAATGGGTCTTTGGGACTTTCCCCAAGTTTCTCCCAAATCACTCTTGGGAGAAACCATGGTTACTAATGGGAGTTGGACATATTTCTCTGCCATGCTAGCGTAGATGGAAAAACATTTGAGAACTTATTCGAAACTGATAAGCTCCCTTTGGGGTAGTTAAGTCAGATGTCATTTTTCTCATTTTGAAGAATCAGAGATACAAATTAAATGGCTTTTCTTAAATATACCCCTTCCATAGATGGCCTCTCATTTTGTCTCTGATCATAATTGATTTGCAGGTTTTAATCTGTGATTCAATTTATGCAGTATTTAAATGATATTGTATATTTGTCTTCCACATTTGGCAAGTTCTTCTTTTCTTCATTTATGTAGATAATCTTTAGTATATAATTTTAAAAATCTGAAACTCCTCGGTCAGTAATGTCCAGATAGAGAATTTAATTTTGACTAGTTTTAAGTTAATCTAAAGTCTTACCCTAATATCTATCAAAGTCAAAATTAATATATACTTTGGGTCATTGTTTGTAGGAAAATGTTCAATTATTTAATATTTCTAATCGAGTTTTTTGTATCTTGTTAATTTAAAGAATTACAGTCTTTTGAAGAAATTTGAGGCACAGAGTTAGAGTTACCTAAGGTCTTTCAGATGAGTCTGGGCAGCCTCTCCATCTTGACTCTCAGGCGGCCTGCAGCAGTGTTTTCTGGAATTTGACTTGGGATAGCATGTGGTCGCAGGGCTTGAGTGTGTCAAGGAACACAATAGCTTTAATTGTACCAGCTTTAGGATTTCTTTTAGACATGAAATACATGTCATAGGTTATACTCCTCTGTATTATAGTAGTATTCTATATTAGTCTGATTTGGAATCATATTGTTCTACAATATGATTGGATAGGGTGATCATGTGCCCTGGGTTTCCCAGGATATTTATTAATAGTGTACTTTTTTTTTTTTTTTTTTTTTTTTTTTTTTTTGCTGCTTCTTTTAGGAGTGTCCTGGTTTGGATGATAAATTATATCTTCATATTATCATATTATTTTTAATTCTTAGACTTATCTCCTTAGCAGGTGCATATCCTAAATAAATAATTTATTTTGTACTATTTTGTAATGATCTGATTCTTTTAGTTTCTTAGAAGGGGAGGAGACAGTTTTAGCATTGGCCAATATATTCACATAATACAGAAAAAGAATTTCCACTTACATGAAAATTATTTTTTTAAATAGACTCATTCTCACATGTGTAATTTCCCCCTTAGAAACTACTCTTTCATTACTTTTATGTTTAAGATGTTGATTTCGGGGGGCATATTTTACTATCTGCATTTTGGGATCTCTTTTTTCATGGATGCCACAGTTAGTGATTTTTCCAGTTTATCCATTGTTCTCAAATCTGAGTCTCTTGGTTGAAGGGATTATAGATTAATAGCAGTAAATGCAAATTTAAAGGGTGGGCTGTGGTGGGAAGGCAAGCAATGAAAAAGTCATTTTATGATATAACATGGTAACACCATAAATGGTCTTGGTTGTTTTGTAGGAATAGTTTTAAGTACTGTTCATAATAAGTTATATCGTGGACATTGTCCTTAAACTTGGCTTTCTGTAGTGTCCCTCCCTGCTCAAAATAAGGTTTAATGCCCTTTACTTTCTCTGTTTAGCCGTACCCCTGGTAATTGCCAGAACTCTGCTAATGAAGTGGATCTTCTGGGTCCAAACCAGAATGGTTCTGAGGGCTTAGCCCAGCTGACCAGCACCAATGGTGCCAAGCCTGTGGAGGATTTCTCCAACATGGAGTCCCAGAGTGTCCCCTTGGACCCCATGGAACATGTGGGCATGGAGCCTCTGCAGTTTGATTATTCAGGCACGCAGGTACCTGTGGACTCAGCAGCAGCAACTGTGGGACTTTTTGACTACAATTCTCAACAACAGGTATTGTGTGTGTCTCTGTCACTCTCTTTACTCTCCTTCTAGCCAGCACGTTATCAAGTAATAAGAATGGGGGGATGGGAGGAGGGTGGCTTTATTTTAGGCTATTGATAGTCAGACTCTATTAGCCCAATGGTGATATGGGTTTACAAAGCCTCTGTATCTTCTACTCAAGAAGCTGATTCCCATTGCTGAGGTTATTAAACCACTTTCTTCTACAAGTACTAGGCTCCTCTCTTGCCCCAGGGCTTGGAGAGTGAGTTGGTATTATCTTTTGTAACAGTCCTCTTGGATGCTATGTTAATCTCTTTGAAGAATAAAGTGATTGTAATGCTATGTGTTTGAAATGTCCAAACTCTGTTATTAGTTATGTCTTTTAATTAAGTGAGTCACTGCATTTTGAAAGTTAGTACCTTACAGTGAAATTACTTGGCTCTTTTGTTCATAAACCCCTGGAAAATACTGCTTGTGTGCCTTCTGATTTTGAAGGCATAATATGACTAACCTCTAGGGTTTTTTGGTCCTTCCTTTAAAAATTTTTAAAAGTAAAATTAGTTGTCTGAATTATTAAAAGGGGTCCTGGTAGCTTTCCTATCTTGTTAAGTACCATAAGTTTTGTCTTATGGCTAGAAGCCATTTGATAGACCATGAATTTCTGATACATCTTAATTTTGGACTGGAACATAAATATAAATTTCTAGGTGTGAAAGGTTAACATCTCATTTTGACATTTAGAAATTCTTGATGTGTGGGGAAATTGGCTTATGATCTTTGAGACCATACTGTTCCGTTAGTTGTCATAAATAGCTGATTTTATTTATTTTTTATTTTTAAAAAATATATTTTATTGATTTTAAAGAGGAAGGAAGAAGGAGAGATAGATAGAAACATCAATGATGAGATTGAATCACTGATTGGTTGCCTCCTGCACACCCCCTAATGGAAACGAAGCCTGCAACCCAGGCATATGCCCCTGGTCAGAATCAAACCTGGGACCCTTTAGTCCGCAGGCCTGTGCTCTATCCACTTAGCCAAACCAAACAGGGCTAAATAGCTGATTTTAAGTGAGTTTTGAATGATAGACAACTGGATAATAAGGTTAACCATATGAAGTTTACAAAATGAAATCTCTTTAAGGGATTTTCTTTCTTTTTAAATATGCATTTATATTGATTTTCTTTTTACAGAGAGGAATGGAGAGGGATAGAGAGTTAGAAACATCGATGAGAGAGAAACACCAATCGGCTGCCTCCTGCACAATCCCCACTGGGATGTGCCCATAACCAAGGTACATGCCCTTGACTGGAACTGAACCTGGGACCCTTCAATCCCCAGGCCGATGCTCTATCCACTGAGCTAAACCAGTTAGGGCAGGATTTTCTTTTTTCTTTCTTTTTTTTTGTTTTTTTGTTTTGTTAATCCTCACCCAAAGTTACATTTTTTCCCCATTGCTTTGCAGAGATAGTGGAAAGAAGGGGAGTGGGTGGAGAGAGAGAGAGAGAGAAAGAAAGAAAGAAACATTTATGTGTGAGAAACACATAGATTGGTTGCCTCTAGGCTCTCGAAGCCATCTGACCAACCATCCTGGGCTGAGGATCAAACCTGCAAACCTGTGACCCTTTGGTGCATGGACCAATGCTCTGTCCACTGACCTACATCAGCCAGGGCAAGGGATTTTCTTTTTTAAAATATTTTTTTTATTGATTTCAGAGAGGGGAGAGAGGGAGAGATATAGAAACATCAATGATGAGAGTCATTGATCAACTGTCTCCTACACGCCCCACACTGGGAATCAAGCTCACAACTAAGGCATGTGTCCTTGACTGGAATTGAACGCAGGACCTTTCAGTCCGCAGGCCAATGCTCTATCCATTGAGCCAAACCGGTTAGTGCGCAAGGGATTTTCTGATGTACATATGCTTTGTGCACCTATCAGATGGATGTTAGTAATTCCAAACTTTTTTTTAGAGAGAGTAAACTGAATGTGTACATTACTTTTCCTGTAGTTTACAATAGATTTGCCCACTTTTCCATAAGAATTGACTTGCAGTGGTTTTATCATCTTTATAAGAAATAATCTTCTTTCATGGTTTTGCCCTTTTTGAAGAAATCCTCAAGGCCAGCTAGCATGGCTTAGTGGTTGAGTGTTGACCTATGAACCAATAGATCACTGCTCAATTCATATGTCTGGGTTTCAGGCTCAGTCCCCATTGTGGGGCATGTGGGAGGCAGCTGGTCGATGATTCTCTCTCATCATTGATGTTTCTATCACCCTTTCCTTCCTTCCTCTCTGAAATTAATAAAAAATAAATAAATACTCAAAACAGGAGTTTTGCATAAAGCCAGAAATTACTTTCAGTGTTGAAGATATACTATATTTCAAAATATTTTGTGTCACATCAAATATAGGGACATGATATTATTGTATTGACTTTAACTTGTCCAGCTTGGGAAATTAATTTGGCAATTTCTTTATCTAATTTGAGGTTCATGAGTTTAGGCTATTCCTAATCAGATCCTTTAAGCTAGTTCCGTGGTCGGCAAACTGCGGCTCGAGAACCACATGTGGCTCTTTAGCCCCTTGAGTGTGGCTCTTCCACAAAAACTTGGGTGAGTCTATTTTGAAGAAGTGGTGTTAGAAGAAGTTTACATCTAAAAAATTTGGCTCCCAAAAGAAATTTCAATCGTTGTACTGTTGATATTTGGCTCTTTTGACAAATGAGTTTGCCTACCACTGTCCTAGTTAATACCAAGAAGTTTTATCTGAATTATTTACTCTGTCTTTTTGGTCTGAAATTCCCTGGCCACACTTAGTGCTGAGGCCATTTTTGGTTCTTGGCTTCCATTCCCAATCTAATTTTTAGCTTATTGTTTAAGAAATATTTGTGTCCAACCTCTTACAAATGAAATCTGATTCTCTTTTATTTAGTTTTTCTTTACTTCATAATCAGAGTTGGGATTCTCTTTTAATTTATCGGTCTCTGGCTTCAAAATTTTTATCAATGTTTTTGGGAGGCTGGATAATTATTAGAACTTAAACAACAGAAATGTACTGTTACACATCCACACATAGTTGAGCATGATTATATCAAACAACACCTATTCAAATTTATAAAAACCCAGGTGCCTTCACCAGAAACCCCAATTCAGCAGTTTTTGAAAGTGAACATTATTATTTTGAAAGTTAAACTCTTGTTGGGTTCTTGCTTCCGATACATGTCTTGGTTGCTGCAACATAGGGCATTGTTATACAGAGATTCCACCATCATATCTGTGATCATTGTTGTTTATCCCATTGCACTTCTGAGTAGAATGCTGTCAGACAGGGGAGGGCTTGGTGAAGACCAAGGTTGCATAGATTTAATTTGAAAGACAGATGGAGTGATACTGCTGCAGTTAAGAGAGCGGAGGTGTGGAGCTGGAAACGACTGGTGTGGTTATGGGCTGACAACATCGAAGGTACATACATGATAAGGGAAAAAGGAGAGAAGTACCTGGTTACTCAGTCCGGGCCACAGAAGCCTTGAGAGCCAAGTCTGGGTCCCTGACAGTATTAGTGATTGTGAGCATTGAACTGGATGTCTAGTGTGGCACATTTTTTTTTTTTTGTGCATTCTATTCTTTTCACTATCTTAAATGGGTATTTAAGGCTAAGGCTATCTGTTTTTAGTTTTTTGTTGTTTGTTACAATTGGTAGGATAACTTTATTTGTGATTTTATGAGGGGATCTGGCTTGCAGATTGACAAAATAATTTCTTTTGTCTTATTTCCTTCAAATCAAGTTTAATTTGATATAGTAAGTTGTTTTCATATCTGTTTATATTGAGATATGTAATATAGAGCAGCCTCAAAATATAGAAAAGGTAACTTTAGTTTATTGCAAACTGCTACTTGTCTAGTCATTGCTAATCATAAACTTATTCTTTCTAAATTGATTTAGATCAGGGATTCCTTTTTGGGGGGCAGTGAATCCCTTAGAAATTACGTGAGATCTGTGGACTGAATTCTCAGAATGTTTTAAAATGTATAAAATCTGTGGACTGAATTCTCAGAATGTTTTAAAATGTTTAAAATCTGTGGACTGAATTCTCAGAATGTTTTAAATGTAAGTAGGATTACAAAATAATCCAAATATATAAAAATATTTATCATTTGAAGCATGAAAAAGAGTTAGGTGTACTAACTATCTTAGTGAGCATAAACAAGATTTTGAGATGTGTAACAATTGTTAAGTAACCTGAAAATATATGTGATTTCTGTTGGTGATTAAGTCACAGATGTTAATGTAGTTGGTTGCTTATAATGCTGATTGAAAGACATGCTAAATTTGTGAAAATAAAGATAATTTTGCTTATCCCAAGAACAAAGAATTGGGGTAAAGAGCCTTAATTCAGAGTAGTTTGAAATGCTTATTGATATTTCTGGACTATTCTCCTTTTTTCTTCATACTTTCCCCTTATACTGTCTTCTCCTCAATCCTGGAAAACACAGTAAACAGTTCATATGTGGTGTTAGATACCATTTGTGTTATGATGCTTGAGCTTGAGCAATGTTTTTTACTGTAATAAAGAGCTATACAACTGTCATATTTTCATAAGTATATTTTAGAAAATTAATACAGGTTTCATTAAAATACATTCCTAGATAGCAGAAACAAAGCCAGGGTTATTGTCATTTAGATTAATTCAATTAATTGTTGATATTCTTTATTTAGAATTCAGTTAATCTAAAAATAGCCTAATGTAGCATGTCTTACAAAAAATTGTATACCAGTGTACTAAAACTCTCCCACCCTGTTAAGCATAAATTTTAACAAAGAGAAAATAACTCTGAAAGTCATAATTGAAATACTGTATTTTTTCCTTCACAGCCCGAGTCAGATAGGAGAGGAAATGGCATGCATTGCTTTTAACAGTCCGGTAGTGATTAAATGTCATTCTTATGAGGGCAAGTTTGTGCATAGTTTTAACAGGAATTGACTATTCTTGGCTTGTCTTTCAGTTTACAATTGAGGTTATTTTATTAATGTTGTGTATAATCACTGTTAAATACTTATATTAGATAGCAATTTGGACGGTTGAAGCTTATCTTTATTGTTATTTGTCATTGAAATTTTATGATGTGATTTTCTTAGATATTAAGTTACTTGGAGGAAGGCTATGTTTTGTTTTTTTTTTTGTTTTTGTACCTTATTTAGGAATCATTTATTACGGAATGAGATTGTTCATCTTTTAAAGAAATGTAAAGAAGTTTCTTTTTTAAAATAGTCTGCAGCATGGTTTGTGTGTACCTGGTAAACCAGAAATCATTAGTTGGTCTTTTAATCTGGTGAAGTATTGTGAAGCATTAAGCAGTTGTTCAAATAACCTGGTAAAAAAATGGGCTTTGACCTGGAAGCTTTAAATAATAGCAAACTTTTACGAATGTCATGTACTGAGGACTGGCTCCAAGATAATACTTTTTAATTAACAATTTATAGTTTCACCATTGATGTAATACTTAGGTTGATTCAGAGGGCTTCTCTCTCGGAATCTTGACAACAGCCCTCTGAGGTAGGGCAGCTATTATGTTTTTACAGATAAGGAAATTGAAGCTAAAAGACTTACTGAAAGGTTAGGTATATTCTGTAAGCTGTGCAAACATCTAAGTTTTGGTTTCTTGCTCCAGGCTGTTTCTTTTGGATCTGGTGCTAGCTAGACTACCAAGCCTTTTGATAATGTGGAATTGTTTCACCTTCAAATTCCACTGCTTTCATAGTTTGTTGTTTTGTTGTTGTTCTTTTCCTGCATGGAGATATTTTAAAAAGGACCCATCAACAATAACAAGAAAATATCTGGTTCTCCCTTATCTTTGTGAACTGCTGAGAGAAGGTGCTCATGAAACTCTGGAGTTTTATTTTAACATTGACTCTGAACAGTTTTACCTTCTGTTTTTCCTCTCCTGGGCTGCCCTGTTGGGAGAGGAGCTATAAAAGGTGACTCACAGAAGCCATGTGTCTGTGTGCAGGTGCTCTTCCCATTTTGTCAATGAGAACATAACACATAAAATATTATTCTGTTACACACGTATTAATTTTATTACAACAACGTTATGAGTTAGACATACCTTTATTTTCTCTATTAAGAGGAGGAGAGAGAGGCATAGAGAGATTGTCTTGCTCAAGTCATGTAGAAAGTTAGTGGTGGAGCTGAAATATGAATCCAGACTTTCTGGCCTCAGTGTCTGTCATTTTTCCTTATCCACTATGTATATAGCCTTAGACTGGTAAAAAGCCAGGCTGGAAGTATATTTTATTTTGGGGAGAGGGAGGGATGGTTTTTTACATTTGCTAGCTCCATATTTAGATATTACTTCTTCATATTCTGAAAACTCAGATATGTTTTTATGCCAACAATTATTGATAACAACAGTAATAGTGTAGCTATATTTTATAAGATGCCACCTATATGTCAGACACACAGTTTTTGACTGCCCAGCTTTTTTTTGGGGGGTGGAGGAACCCCCACAAGGATCTCTTCTGTTAAGGCTATACAATGGTAGAGAAGAGAGTCAAACCAGTCTCCTTGCGTGCTTTCTAAATCTTGAAATAGTTGATACGTTTTTCTCTGTATTCTGTCTCTTAAAGAATTTATGTATTCTACCCAAGTAAATTTTAATCAGTAGTGGTACATTTATCATTATACCAACCTTAAAATAAGCATTTTCTCCAAATCTCACAGTACTGTGTTTCTCAGTTGTGATTAGCTTGCTTTGTGAAAATCATGAAAATATTTACAGAGCTCAGTGCTTTGCCCAGCAGATGGCATTTGTATGAGTTTTTCAGGATTATTTGGAATCCATCACTTGCCAATTACCCAATTTTGTTTTCAGTACCCTGTATTTCCAGTTAATATTGGAACATTTACATAAAAAGAATTGCCAGAATTACTACTGTAATCTATAATCAAATCTGCCTACAGTAGATAAGTAATTTACTTTAGTTAATTGTTTACTGCAAAATGCACTCGAAAAAGAATTCCTTCTCTAGTCACCATAATCATTGTCATGTTAATCAACTCTCAAATATAGGGTGTATTCTCAAAGAGTGATAACTTGGTAGTTATAACCATAAACTCATGTGGAATTACTACTTTTATGGTATTTACCCACTATTTGTATTTACAAAATACAGTATACAGACATATAATGAAGCAAAGAGAAGTCATGGAATGGCATTGGAGTACGTACTATTTTTGATTAAGAAAACGTCAAGATTTAGGTTTTGAATGGACCATCTTTATTTCCTATGTCACAGCATCTAGCTAATAATGTTTGTTAAATGAAGTGAATTATTTTGTTTATAGCAGGGTGGAGAGAAGAGGTTTGGCATTTCTGAGATGTTAAATAATTCAGAATGTTTTAGGCTAGAAGAATTTTGGAGAGCCATTGAAGAGATAGTAGTGGAACATTGAGGTATTTTTATCTTCAAAAAATCAACTTCTCACAATTTTTACTTGTTTTCCTGGCTGCCCCTCTTGGGTGGACTCTGAAATCTCTACATGGTTATTTTTGACATTGTAAAAGAAAAGACTAAGTTCTATTCTGGTTTTTAGAAAGATAAATATGTAGAAAAGAGGTAAAAGGTGAAGTTGGTGAGTATGTTCAAAATATTCACTTTTTGTTTTCTTTTTATTTAAAATCAGTATATCATATATAGAGTAGAGGCATAGGAGTAGTTAAATCATAGGATAGTCTTTTTATTAAAACTTCAATGGTGACGAAAATTAAGCTGAGTTGGTAAAATGCCATTATCTCCCAGAGTCTGAAATAATCGGCTCTCTTTATGAGGACATCTGTAACTCAAGATCCGTGGTGTCTGTTTTATATCATCCAATGATGTCAGCAGAGCTGTTGAAATGTGCTTTAGAAAGCAGGTAGGTTGAAGACCTTTTCTAGGGAGGTCCTTTCAGTAAGTGCTCTCTGTCTGAGTCCAGCAAATACAGAAGTCTTCAGTATGACTGCTGTGAAGGAGGCTTGTCAGAGCAATCCAAAGTCAGGTTACCTGCTTCCCCTTTCTTTGTATCAGTACTATTCATACTAAAATGTATGAACATTTTACTTATTGTTCTACTAGAGGCCCGATGCATGGATTTGAATCCTGGTGCCTGCCATGGATTGGGACCCAGCTCATGCCCCCAGCCTCACAGTCCCGCCTGGCACCCCAGCAGCCCCACCTGTCTCCGTTAATCGCCATCTGTAGGGCGATCGATAGGGCAGTCAAGCCTCTGATTGTACCCATCTTGGCCTGGCACCGTCCACTCATCTGCTCCACCATCCTGCTCTGGTTGGGGCCCATTGGGATCAGCAGTGCCTGTACTGCTGCCTACTACCAGCACCCCATCTCTGATTCCCGCCATGTTCCATACTGCCCCCTGGTGGTCAGCGCACATCATAGTGATCATTGGAACTGGTCTCCCAGTCAAACTCGCAGTCTAGCTACTGCTCCAGGGGACAATTTGGGCTTTTAAATAAAAGCATATTAGGCTTTTATTATATAGGATCCTTAATTTCTTGCACAATGCCTAGTAGGTATTACTTGTTTCATAAATATTTTAGGAGTGAGTGAATGACTGACTTTGTATTAAGATTCTTTGAACTCCTTTTTTTTGCGAACTAAGAATGGTGCTAGGTCTGAGTTCATAATCCAGATTTTGTTAGAAGCAGCTGTACTTCCCTGGAAACTCAAGAGCCCCCCAAAGTTAGGTAGTTGCCCAGTTAACTCATGATAAGCCCATAGCTGAGGTAGGTATTCAATATAATTTCCTCAGGAAGAGGCAACCAGAGGACAAGATGAATTCTTTTCATTTTCCTTTCCGGAATGTGAGTAGGTAAGGATTAATCCCAAGTTTTTGTGGGGTTTTGTAAAGAATGGTAGGGAGATAACAGCACTAGGGGCAATGTGGTAAATCATTTTGTTGTACCTTTGTTTAATTTTTGTGTGTCTTGGATTAGGCAGTTTCCTCAGACCTGTTGACAACCACTGTGGCATTTGTATGTATGTGTGTGACTCAGGGACATATAATTTGTGAAATACTCAGCACTTGGGAGCTGGATACACCAAACTGAGGTAAAGAAAGATGGAAAGCAGAACTATGAAGCATTGTGATACTACATGAATAGGTAGAACATGAGAACATTTTGTGTAAAGTATGATGCTTCAATGGGTCGTGCAGAAATTTTTATCCAGAGAGATTTTAAAATTATTCTTGAGACAGTTTCTCTAACCTCACCATGTTTTTTTCCTACCTCAGCTGTTCCAAAGACCTAACGCGCTTGCTGTCCAGCAGTTGACAGCTGCTCAGCAGCAGCAATATGCACTAGCAGCTGCTCATCAACCTCATATTGGTAAGTCCTTAAGACTATGCCTCCTTTGTTATTATCAGTGTGGCCATCATTTTTAGGATACTGGCTGCTGTGAAATCCAGTAGACTGAGTATAAAAGTCTAGGCAAAAATTCCTCAAAGTGATTCCCTTTTTCCTTTTGTTCAGTCGTCTCTAGCTACATCCTTTATTTTTGACACACCTTCTGTACCTCAACTCATTTCTTAGTATTCAGTTACTATTGCTCTACCTCAGTTCTTTCAGGATTTAAAAGTAGTTACTGCTGTGGTGACTAGCATCAATTCTGTTGGTAAGATTGGATGAAATAGATTAAATAATAATTTTGTCCATGTTGGGGTTTTATTGAATGTGAATATATCAATTTCTCTTATTAAGTAACAAGAAGTATCTTTAAATCCATTTTCCTAGCAGCATGTATTTTTTTTTTAAGTCTTCTTATTTAATTACTGGTTTTTAAAGTAGCTTTGCCTTTTCTAGCAATTCCTTTGACCTGCATATTTTCATATTGCGGCCTAGACACCCCATCCCGACATTTTTAAGGTCTGAAGAATACACAACATTATATGTGTAAACAAGTACAAGTAGAAGTATTTTTTTAATGTGTTTAAATGACATGATCGAATAGAAGGAGACTGCCAATCATGGATTGTGGTATGCTGTATAAGAAAAGCCTAGTTTCCACCTAGATATGTGAAGGCCAGGCACAGAGCCTTTGCTTGGGTCTAGTATTTTATACTTGAAGATAGTTGTCTTTATAAATACCCATACATTTTCTTTGAGGTAAACTGGAAAATTGTTATAAATGGAAATAAATCCTTCCCTCCATCCCATTACATCTTTTTAATTGCTCTAATTTTAATATTATTTTAGAAATTGTGAGAATTTAAAGCTGCCTAATATATCAGTTATAATTTTTAGCAAAGTTAGGGAAAAAAAGACAAAAGAAAAATGTCACCATAATTTTTAGTACAGGAATTATTTACTTTAAAAATTGTTTAGTTAGTCTCAACCTATATTGTCTCCCCGCTCTTACCTACAGCCTGGAATGAATACCTAAATTATGTAGGTGTTTGGTAGGACTGCAGTTTTAGTCAAATTTGTTTTTACTGACAGGTATGTTTTCAGCAGGTTTAGCTCCCGCTGCGTTTGTTCCCAATCCATACATCATCAGCGCTGGTCACCCAGGGACGGATCCCTACACGGCTGGACTGGCCGCAGCAGCAACACTAGGTGAGACTTCTGCTGCACGAGAATTTCAGAAAATTCTTTGCCTGAAAAGCTCCTTAACTGGCATTGCCACCTCTAGAACACGGCCGCCATTTGAATTGGGCATGAAAGTCATTTGAATTGGGCATGTGTCCTTTATACTCTTTCACGAATCCATGTTTCCAGTGAGGATTTCTCTCCTGACTTCCAGTGCCATCTCCATGCTAGCTGTGTAGCTCTGCTTAGCTGTAACCTCAGACTTGAACCTGTCTTAAGGCAAACTAGTTAGTCACCTCTTGTATAGGTGTTTTTTTTTTTGTTTTTTTTTGTTTTTTTTTTGTATAGGTATTTTTGATCAATGAAACCACCAGTTGCTAAATATATTTTGGGAATTTCTCCCCTTACCCAGGTTTTCCTACTACCTCTAGTCTATCACAGCTCAGGTTCTTATTTGCTTTACCTAAACTTTTGCAGCTGTTCTCATATATTCCTAGTTCCCTTGCTTCTTTCCCCTCTTCTGCCTCCCAAAAATTGCTCAAGAAAACTGTCTCAAATACAAATCTTATTCCTTTGTTCTTGTGCTTAAACTGTTCATTGCTTTTTGTATTATCGACCCTCGTGTAGCAAATGTTTATTATCAAACACAGTTGATCACTATAATCTAGTTGGGTGGTGACAGTGGTATCTTGTTCTTTGGAATCAGTATTTTTAATGAGGTACCATGGCATTCAGAGGATTAAGGAGGATTGGGACCCATTATGTATAGGTAACTCTCCATGATCTGTACATTGATCTCTTGACATGCGGGTCGCTTTCTCCCCTTTAAACTGGCTACCATTGGCTCACGCTGTTCATTCTAGCAATATTAACCTGATTTTAGCTTGTTGAAATAACATGGTGGTTCAGGTCTCAGTATCTTTGGACCCTATGGTCTCCTGAGTAAATTCTTTGCCTGAAAAGCTCCTTAACTGGCATTGCCACCTCTAGAACACGGCCGCCAACCTTCCGAACCTCAGGACCACCAGTGGTCCGCAGACTGCCGGTTGGCAACCACTGCTCTAGAAAGCCTTCCTTTGCTAACCCTTCCCTGTTGCTTATTATGGTTTCGTATTCATTTGCTTGTGGTTTTATACATACATAAGTGTGTTTTTTCCCTTGAGACTGAACTTTTCCAAAAATAGGCATTTTTGTTATTTGACTCTGGCATAGTTGCTATCTCCATAGACATTAATGTGTGATAAATTGAATTCAGTGTTAGGACAAACCAAATGCTTTCCAAAAGTGGACAAGCATGCTTTTTCCTTCTTCCTGATCAAGGCCAAATTTTCCATGTATTCTTAAACCCACCCCTTCCTTCTTCTCCCAGGTATGTTCCCTATTACCTCCAATATTTCACTTTTCATTAGCTTCTTCCTCTGGGGCTGCTTTATTACTTGAGAAGACTTTGGTGTGGGGAACATGCATAAAATTTTCTATTTAAAAAACTAGAAGTAATGATTAGGTAGAACAAATCAATATATTCTTAAATTAATATTTTGCATTCGGATCTGCTGAGTCAGATGTAGTCTTGGGAAACTGAGATTAGTCTTAACTTACCTTACCTTTCTCTTGGCTGTTTTTAGGCCCAGCTGTGGTCCCTCACCAGTATTATGGAGTTACTCCCTGGGGTGTCTACCCTGCCAGTCTTTTCCAGCAGCAAGCTGCTGCTGCTGCTGCAGCAACAAATTCTGCTAACCAGCAGACCACCCCCCAGGCTCAGCAAGGGCAGCAGCAGGTAAGTGTTAACAAAATTTATGCTGCATAAGTGTGAATTTTAGTTATTTATTAATTGAAAGGTAATGTTGGTTTAAATAGAGAAGCACTGAATGGTGACTTCCCTCTCATGTTTGTCTCTGAGTTTAGGCTTAGACTTAGCTGTGCTTACTGAATGCCATTTATGAATCAGGTTCTCGGTTAATATAAATAGTTGCAATAATGATATCATACAATTTTCATATGAGAATTCTGCTTAGAGAACTGTCCAGTTAAGAGTACATGATTATCTAGTGGCAAAGTGAGTGTCATACTGACAGTAAATTTTCTTTCTGCCAAACTGTAGTTAACTGCTAAACAGCATTCTCACATCACTCTGGCTCTGTTACAAGTCACTTGCCATTGAAGGGGAGGGACTGGTTCTTCAGACTGCTTATTTACAACATCTATTGGATTGGATATAAGTCTTAAACCTCTTATGTCTGTTTTAACTTACAGTAATAAGAGCTTTTAAATTGAGTTGGGAAAGGATAATTAAATGCAAAACTGAGTATATCTTTTTTATTTTATTTTTTATTTTATTTTTATTTTTATTTTTTTTTCTTATCCACCAGGCAGGGCATGCATTATTGTTCCTGTTTTATTTTTATTTATTTATTTATTTATTTATTTATTTATTTATTTATTTTTTGTGTTTTCATATCCTGGTAATCTTCACTTTTATGTACTTTTTATTTAATACAATTAGTTAAATGCTGCATATACAATTTGTATCCTATTTATTCACTTTTTTTTTTTAAAATCAATCTTTATTGTTCATATTATTACAAAGGTTCCTCATTTCTTCCCCCCTCCACCAGGTTCCCACCCCCCCCTCCGACCCCTCCCCATCCCCCATTGTCCTCATCCATAGGTGCAGTTTATGTTCAGTCTCTTCTTCCCTCCCTTTCCCCAATAGTAAATCCCTTTTCAGATAGTAAATCAGTTACTTAGCATTTTCTCAAATCAATAATACCTCCACATGCCCAATGATACACTTCACACAAAAGACATTTCCCAATAGGTCCACCAGCCTCATCCAGGCCCCACCCAAGGCACTCACAGATCAACACCCCAGCCCTATACTAACTCAACACATCCAGATCTAAGCCTTCATCACTTGATTCAGCAGACCCTCATGTTCCCACGAAAGTTTCCAGCCATGTCTGAGAGGCAGCCGTGGGGCAGGGGCAGGCGAGGAGCGAGCTGTTCCGGGCCTGGCTGCTCAGGGCCTGGCCTCTGTTGCTCTGGTTCGTTCCACAACCAGCTGCTCTGGGTCTGGTCACTGCTGCTCCCGACCTGGTTGCTCCAGGCTTGGCTGCTGCTGCTCCCGGCCTGGCCGCTCCCAGCCTGGCAGCCGCTGCTCCGGGCCTCTTTTTTATTTTAAATAAGTAATTTTCTTCTGCTTACTAGAATACCACCTATTGCTGAATATTGTGGTGAATTGCAAAACTAAAAAAATAAACAAAAAACAAACAACAACACACATATACATACATTCATACACACACACACACGCCCACACACAAAATATGAGAAGAAACCAATATTAATGTATTAGTGGTTGGTATTTTAGCATTATTAAATGAATTTTTTAAATGAATTTTTAAAATAAAATTGGGCCGAGACCGGTTTGGCTCAGTGGATAGAGCGTCGGCCTGTGGACCCAAGGGTCCCGGGTTCGATTCCGGTCAAGGGTATGTACCTTGGTTGCGGCACATACCTAGTGGGGGGTATGTGGGAGGCAGCTGATTGATGATTCTCTCTCATCGATGTTTCTAACTCTCTATCCCTTTCTCTCCTCTCTGTAAAAAATCAATAGAATATATTTTTAAAAATAAATAAATAAAATAAAATTGGGATTATTCTGTTCATGTGGTTTTGCCTACTGCTTTTATAGTTTTCCATGTTATTTAATGTTCATTTTAATAACATTTACTATATTTAAATCCATCAAAGAATATCACATACTTTATTTTGATAAGTCCATTATTATTTCATATTTAACTTAGCAATATTGTGGTGTTATAAATAAGACTGAGCCCTGACCAGAGTGGCTCAGTTGGTTGGGCATCATCTCCCTGCACCAGAAGGTTGCTGTTTGATTCCCTGTCAAGGCACATTCTGGGTTGCAGGCTCCATCCCCAGTAGCAGGTGTGTGGGCAGCAGCAGACCCATGGTTCTCTCTCATTGAAGTTCATCTCTCTCCCTCATCTTCCCCTCTTCCCTAATGTCAATAAAAATATATTTAAAAAATAATACTGATAAGTATCATTTGCCTAAGTCCATTGCATTATTTCAGTGGATTAAATTCTTAGAAATAGAATATTTTTCATGCAATAAAATGAGCATTAGGCTTTTCATATTCATTGTCTAATTAAAGCTGTCTTTTTGAAACATACCATGTTCATATGTGTTTATATGATATAATAAGAGTCATCTGCTTTTTATTAGTCTCACTAAGAGAGCATGTTTATTTTCTTAGATTCCACAAAATTACAGGGAAAACACGAGTTTTGAAATTCTAGTTAGTTTATCTTGGTCCAGTATTTTTATAGTATGATCATTTTGGGGAAGCTAATGCATGATTTTCTTCGCAGTAGATACAATTTTAGTACCAAATATGTAAGGGAATTTGTTGGCAGAATGGGTAGTCCCTATTAATGAATTTGTTAATAGCTCCTCTTTGTAGGTAGTCTGTATTTATTTCTGAGATGATCTTTGTGTTCAAATGGATGCCAAATACTTATGGATTTGAAAGACTGAAGTAATTACCATTTTAAATTGAGTTCTAACAAAGCGAACAACAAAGATACTAATAAGTTCTTCCTGTTGAAAGCTTTCTTTTTAAAGCTAAGAGCTCTGCTTCTTTTTTCCTTTACCCTGCTTCTAATCATTATATGACTTCCCATCATAAGATAAAAGAAATAGAATTCGTGTGCCTAGGGTCACACAAATATGAAGTTGCTAAGGTTACAGAAGTCTGTTATTTCACAATTTTTGCTGTTTTATGACCATATTGTGATATTTGGAGTTATGTGTAACCTGTAATCTGGTCTCTGTTCTGCAACTAACTGGTTGTATCTAGGGCAAGTTGTGTAACTTCTCTGAAGATAGGTAGTAAACTTAACTCCTTGGATAGTTTTTACAAATAGATTTTCAGACATTTTTTAATGGTTTTATTACATGTTAAAAATGTTACTTATTCAATTTTATATATTGTTTCCATAAAACCCAGATTTGACACTGATTGATAAAATTAAAATACATGAATATTGGCAGCTGACTCAAGAGCTATGTTTTTTTTTTAATCAAATTTCTACATAGATTTCTAAAGAGTGTACCAAAAGGAAACATGTTGCTCTCATTAATATAGGATTCAGTCTTCAGGAATTCCTCTTTTTTTCAGGCACCATGTCCATTTACCTGTCCCCTGACCTTTCTATAACTCCTAACCAACATAAGCCATGTTTATCATGCCCAATAAAAATGATACTTGCACGATGCTTAATTAGTTCTCTAGTAGTTTTGAACTATAAGTATTTACCTATCTCTGTGCATGCTGTTTACTTTTTCTAGAGTGAGGCTCTTTTGGGTTATTGGTTATGTATCTTATAAGTCTTGCCCAAACACTTACCTGTGCAACCTCTTCTATAATTGTAGATTGAAGTATTCTTTCTCCCATAAAGTTGGGTAGATTCTTCTTCTTTTTTTTAAAAATATATTTTATTGTTTTTTTACAGAGAGGAAGGGAGAGAGATAGAGAGTTAGAAACATCGATGAGAGTCATCGACCAGCTGCCTCTTGCATGCTCCCTACTGGGGATGTACCTGCAACCAAGGTACATGCCCTTGACAGGAATCAAACCTGGGACCTTTCAGTCCACTGAGCCAAACTGGTTTCGGCAAGTTGGGTAGATTCTTTAGGTTACAGTAGAAATAAATTGCCTAATATTTTGATAGTAATTGGCTATTGGTTTACTGATTAGCTCCTGGGTAATACATTAACTCTCATACTTTCTGCAAGATAAGCTGTTATTCTCACTATTTTTACATATAAGGAAATAATAGACTTAGGGTAATATAAATGTCTTATCAATATAAACAATATGGTTCACCTATGGTTGGCTGACCGGCCCGGCCTGGCCCCCTGGTTGAACTCATGATAGAAGGGACAATTTGTATCTTAGCCTTTTATTATATAGGATATCATACCAAGAATTTTAATTTTTTAAAAAAGTGTATCCAACTTAAGCATGTGGTGGGTCTTAGATATACCAAATGAGAAAAAGTGGTTGATTTATTTCTGTCTTTCAGGTTCTCCGTGGAGGAGCCAGCCAGCGTCCTTTGACTCCAAATCAGAATCAACAAGGACAGCAAACAGATCCACTAGTGGCAGCTGCAGCTGTGAATTCTGCCCTTGCTTTTGGACAAGGACTGGCTGCAGGCATGCCAGGTGAGGCTGACTTTTGTTCCTAATACTTTGAGGAGAAATAAAGTTTGCTTGTTGGGAGAGTTTCAGAGAATAAGCAGTGCTTTTAGCTTGCTTAGGTTTGCCATAATTTCATGACTGGCCAGGATGACACACTTGCCCTCACTTAGACCGCAGTTCGTTGATGAGAGCACCTAATTGGTCTGAGCCAGTCTTAATCTCAGTTGGTGAAAACATGCACATCTCCACACATTGCTGAGACTATGCTGTTTTCACTGGTGTTGATCTATTTTCCCTCTCAGGATTAGAAGGAGTACCCTGGCCACTTTAACATTACTCCAAGCCTGTAGTCGTTAGGATGATGTTTTGTTCTTTTAAAACATGTTTTTATTGATTTCAGAGAAGAAGGGAGAGGGAGAGAAAGAAAAACATCAATGATGAGAAAGAATAATTGATCGGCTGCCTGCTGCATGCCTCCCGCAACCCAGAATTCCTTGATCAGAATTGAACTAGGGACCCTTCACTCTGCAGGCTGACACTCTATCCACTGAGCCAAACTGGCTAGGGTTATGATGATATTTTTGAACAGCATTATTAGGAAGAAATTTATGGTATGTCTTGTTTGTCTTTATTATTTATTCTGAACCAGTATAAAGATGATTTGTAGTGCCAACCTATGATATATATATTGAATATATGTCATTTTTGGCTCACTGTCACCTGATTTTATTCTTTGCATGGGTTGGATGTAGTTTGAGGTTCTTCCTTTGAAATAGGTTCTTATGAAATTTCAGCATAATTTTATGGATCCTTACTGAGCATGGAGTGTAGCCAAATTAAACTAATTCATTTATTATTTACTGAGTAAATTGACTTGTATTATTTTGTTAATTACTAAGCATTTATGTATTAAGAACTCACCAAAATTTAATACGATTTGGAGATTCCATCTCATATGGCATGAAAAGATCCTATTAATTGAAGCCTATCTAGGTTTTTCATGCTAACTTGCAGCATATTTGTGCTTAGATTATTAAGTGGTATGGAAATACTATGATTGTTGTAATCATTTGTTCCCTCTGTTATTTGTGTGGGCAGGAAAACATTAAAAAATTGTCAGTGAATGCTGGTTGGTGATAACCTTGGTGGAAGCAACCAATCAATGTCTCTCTCTCACATCAATGTTTCTCTCTGTCTCTCCTTCTCTGTTGCTCCAAATTCTCTTTCTAGCACCCAGTGGATGAAAAATAATGCTACTCTTCTTGTGCTAGATAATATACTATATCTTTTACATTCATTTTTAGCTTAATCTTCACGAGAACTTTATAAAGACAGGTATTATCCTCATTTTACAAACGAGGAAATCGATAGCTGGAGATTTAAGGTCATACAACTATCTAAGTGTTGATGCTAGCCTATACACCTAAGTCTGGCTGTCTATCCCCAGAGCTGAGTTTGTGACTGTTTACAATGTGCTGGTGCCCAGGAGGCATTGTCAGTTTACATGTGCTTACAGTATGTTGCCTTTCTATTCCAGGTTATCCAGTCTTGGCTCCTGCCGCTTACTATGACCAAACCGGTGCCCTTGTGGTGAATGCAGGAGCGAGAAATGGTCTTGGAGCTCCTGTACGACTTGTAGCTCCTGCCCCCGTCATCATTAGCTCCTCAGCTGCACAAGCAGGTGAGCTTCTATCCAGGGTGAAAGGGTGATGAATGACATTCTTAAAATATGTTGATTCTCAATATAGCATTTCTACCCTGTGATACTTGAAAGAGAATCAGAAGCAAAAAATGGTATTGATAGATTCTGATGTTGTGGCATGTACCAGTTAGTGAAGAGCAAGGACTCATTCCACTGCAAACATAGGAAGTTAGATTAGTAATATAAAATGGCACCATTGGCAGAAGCCCAAGGCTAATTTCACAGAAATCTGTCATTATCTTCAAATAATGTAGATTCACGCCCCTACCCCCCCTGCCCAGGGGGCAAGGATAGAGAAAGGAGGAGATGAGTAGAGAGACATGACAATAATAGGTTTTGGTAGGGGCTGGGAGATAAGTTTTTATTTTAAGCTATATACTTTTAATTAGGAATTAATAGTGGGAAAATCTAGAAGAGAAGCCACGTGCTTAAATGTCTTAGGAATTTGAGGGACTTTAGCATATGGATGACATTGATTCTAGAATTATGGGTTATGGTTTTTTTAAAATCCTTACCCAAGGATATTTTTCCAATTGACTTTTAGAGAAACTGAAAGAGAGAGGGAGAGACAGAGAGAAACATTGATGTGAGAGAGACACATCGCTTGGTTGCTTCCCACATGCCCCTGACCAGGGCAAGGAACCTGCAGTCGAGGAACCTTGACTGTAATCAAACCTGGGACCCTTCAGTCTGCAGGCCAACACACTATCCACTGAGCCAAACCAGCTAGAGCTAGAGAAATGTTTTTTCCATGGATATTTGTGAAATGAACTTCTGGGAAGTAGATATATTTAAAATGGGTATATTTGATATTGTACCTATTTTAAACCACAGACTCTTTAAAGCCACAACATACTGAACTTGCTCCAGTGCTATTTAGAAAGTAGAAATAGAAAATGATCTTCAAATGAGGGGATCAAAAACAGAATTGTGTAGCTTTTTACAAGGTTTGTGTCTACTTTGAATAGATACAGTAGAATTAAAAGGTTTTCAAAAAAGGATAGCAATGTAGTTTGGAAATGTGGCCAATCCGTTTTATAGCTAGATGATTTGCTTTCTTTATAGCTGTTGCAGCGGCCGCAGCTTCAGCAAATGGAGCAGCCGGTGGTCTTGCTGGAACAACAAATGGACCATTTCGCCCTTTAGGAACCCAGCAGCCTCAGCCCCAGCCCCAGCAGCAGCCCAACAACAGCTTGGCGTCCAGCTCTTTCTATGGCAACAACTCTCTGAGCAGCAATTCCCAGAGCACCTCCCTCTTCTCCCAGGGCTCTGCCCAGCCTGCCAACACATCCTTGGGATTTGGAAGTAGCAATTCTCTTGGCGCCACCCTGGGATCGGCCCTTGGAGGGTTTGGAACAGCAGGTAGAAATCAGACTGATGTGCTTTAAAACTTATAATTACTTTTACAATCTTTATGGAATACTGACGATGCATGGAAACCTGGACAGATTCCACAGGCAGATCTGGACTGAGCCCCGTGGGAATCCAGCCATCCCACATATCTTTGAGATGATGGACTATTAAAACCAAGATATACAGTTGGGGCCTATTGCAGGTTTTTGCTTGTGTTGCTACTTATTTATATCTTAATAGTCGATTTGTTATAAGAATTAGGAAAGCAGGGGAGGTTTTTACTGGCATTGGGGAGAGCGTGGAGGGAAGCATAGAAATGTGAATGTTAAAAACCGGGAGGACAACTTACCAAAGATCACAGGGTAGTGGACTGTACAATCTGCAAGCCTTGAGGACTCATGAGTATTCTGCAGTCTTTTGAGAAGAAGGGAAAAATGGAAGGAAATTAGATCAGTATATTTTTAACACTTTATGGGAGAAAAAAAAATAGGAAGTAGTAAGGTAAACAATGGGATAAATACAGTGTTTGTAAAACACTGATGTGGAAACTGAAGGGCACATTTGTGAGAAGGTATCTTAAATTGGAATTGGAGTCTAGTAATAACTCTTGATTGAACAAACCCATTGAGAAAATAGGCTTTCATTTATAAATCTTGTGTGTGGGACATTGTTCCATTTACAAATGTTTTCTGAGCTCCCATTTTTTCTACTAGAACCTTTGGATTGATGAAAGGCATTCTTTTTAGCCCATTTTCTTTCACCTTTCCCAAAGCTTATGTGGCCGTCCATCAGAGATTTTTAACCCACCCCACCCCATAATTTATGACACAAAAGGAAGGTAAATTTAGCATATGTGTGATGGTTTGAACAAAAGTTTCATGTTAAACTGAGCCATGTCCTCTTTGTTACCTCACCTGCCCCTAGAACTGCCACATGAATAGCTAGGCTGTCTCTGCTGACAAATTTGCGGTGGTAGGGAGTCTGGATCAAAGTGTCAGGAACAGGTCACTGGGCTTGTTCTTCAAGGAACAGGCCTGTTCTTATCTGCATTGTTTTAATTCCATTTTAGTTGCAAACTCCAACACTGGCAGTGGCTCCCGCCGTGACTCCCTGACTGGCAGCAGTGACCTTTATAAGAGGACATCGAGCAGCTTGACCCCCATTGGACACAGTTTTTATAACGGCCTTAGCTTTTCCTCCTCTCCTGGACCCGTGGGCATGCCTCTCCCTAGTCAGGGACCAGGACATTCACAGACACCACCTCCTTCCCTCTCTTCACATGGATCCTCTTCAAGCTTAAACCTGGGTAAGAACCATTACTCTACCACCACCTTGAACTCGAGAAATCTCTTGCCACCAATGCCATTAGAAGTACTTTGCATAAGCAAAGCACAATCCCTTTATCCTGGAAGTGTCCTGAGTGTTCTGTTTCTTCCTTGAGTGCCTCATGTTATTTAGGCTGTTCCTAGATGGCATAACAGTTTTGGATTTATTAAAGTTTGGATGTGTCCCCTATATTTTCACTTTAGTATAAACATCTTGTTCTCTGGCTGCATGTGAGAATCTTTCATTATAAACACAGTCCAGATTCATTTTAAATAAAACTGGAAAACAAAGATAGAGAAAAAGAATGTATTCACCTAGTATTAACACTTAAATATCATCATGATTATATTTTGCCTTAATTTTCAGACTCTCTTCACTCCATCCCACATTTATACATTTAATATCTTTTGCACATAAAGCATTTTATTTTAAAAAGTTTCCCAGGTTTTTTGTTTTTTTTTTCTTTTGTTTTTTTTTTTTTTTTAAAGACATTTTCTTTTTTTGATTTCAGAGAGGAAGGGAGAGGGAGAGGGAGATAGAGATAAACATCAATAATGAGAATTATTGATCAGCTGCTTCCTGCATGCCCCCTACTGGGGATCAAGTCCACAACTTGGGCATGTGCTCTTGACCAGAATCTAACCCGGGACCCTTCAGTCCCTAGGCCAGTGCTCTAACCACTGAGCCAAACCAGCTAGGGCCGCCAATATATTTGTATATGTTTTCTTAAACTATATAGCATGCTAATGAGTATAGATGTATAGAACAATTTTATGTTTTGGTGGTTAAATGTATGGGATTTTTAAATGTTACTGTCTAGATCCTAGAAAATGAGGATAAAGAGGCTCCTTAATCAGCAAGCTATAAGAATGTAGAGGTACTTTATTATCATGTTAGAGGACAAATTTCTAAGTCTTTGAAGAGATAGGAAATGGTTTACACTCCCTTCTCCCAGTTATTTGTCTGGTTTGGATTTTGAAGTACCAATTTATTTCTTAGGTTGAGGCATAGACATGGAGTAACTATTGTGTTTCCCCGAAAATAAGACATCCTCTGAAAATAAGATGTAGCACAACTTTGGGAGAAAAAATTAATATAAGACACTGTCTTATTTTCAGGGAAACAGGGTATGTAATTTATCCTGCAGCCCAGGACACTTTTGACACTGAATTGGGGGTTCTGTTACTTATTATTCTGTGAAGACGTGCCTAAATATAGACCGTCCCTATCCTCCTATATAATAAAACCCTAGTATGCAAATCGACTGAGCAAAGGAACGTGACACACACTGACCATCAGGGGCAGAAGCTCAATGCAGGAACTGCCCCCTGGTGGTCAGTGTGTTCCCACAGAGGCGAGTACTGCTCAGCCAGAAGCTGGGCTCACAGCTGGGGAGTGCAGTGGCGGTTGTGGGAGCCTCTCCCACCTCTGCTGCAGGTGGGCAGTTAAGGAGTGAGGGATCCCAGACTGCCAGAGTTCAGGTCTGTGAAAGGAATATCTGATTGCTGGCTTAGGCCCGATTTTGGACTGTGAGAGGGCACAGGCCAGGCTGAGGGGTACACACACACCCTCCTCTCCTCGCCAAAGTGCATGAATTTCATGCATCGAGCCTCTATTTTAAAATAAAGTAAAAACAAAAAACAAAACAAAACAAAAAATACCTATTCTAGTTTACATGGACTTTTTTTTTTTTTTAATTATGTTTTTATTGATTTTAAAGAGAGAAGGCCAGAAATATCAATGATGAGAAAGAATCATAATTTGGCTGCTTCCTGCAGGCGAGCCCACAACCTGGGCATGTGCCCTGACCAGGAATCTAACTCTGGTCTCCTGGCTCACGGGTCAATGCTCAGCCACTAAGCCACACCAGCAGGACTTTCCCCCACTTTTTTAACTACTAGCAAGATTAAAAATGGCTTTATGAACTCAGAAATGAGGACAGGCTATAAACAAATAGTATGATTTCATTTGGAAAGACAAATACTTGGAAATGATTTATAAAAATATAAAAATTAGGCTTGAAGAAGGGTTAAGGTAATGGTTATTCTAGAACTAATGCTATTTCTGAGTTTGGAGATGAGTTTTGAGGCAACATTATCTATCTATATAAGTACATACACGTGTGTGTGTGTGTGTGTGTGTGTGTGTGTGTGTGTGCGCGTGCGCACGCGCACCCTAAAAATTTCCTAAGTTAAGCACTATGTGGTTATAGAACTTATTGTTTCAGGTTATATTAGGAAAGTTGTAGGGACATTCCAGGTTGCTAAATCCATATTGGATAATAGCTAATGGATGTGGGTTTATTGTATAACAGTGTTTTCTAGTGACAGAATGCCTGGCTTTAAAGACTCAGGACTAATCCAGAAACATAAGGTATAGATGAAAGTGTCAGTTTTTGTTTTTTTAAAAATATATTTTTATTGATTTCAGAAAGGAGGGGGAGAGGGAAAGAGATAGAAAAACATCAATGATGAGAGAGAATCATTGATCTGCTGCCTCCTGCATGCCCCCTATTGAGAGATCGAGCCCACAACCTGGGCATGTACCCTTGACCAGAATTGAACCCTGGACCCTTCAGTCAGTAGGCCGACATGCTATCCACTGAGCCAAACCAACCAGGGCGAAGTGTCAGGTTAGTGTGTAGCTGGAAGGAACTAACATTTATTGAGCAGTTATTACCTGACACTACTAATGGTTTTAGCTGCTGTACCTCTGGAAGGTATTATGCCTATGATACAGAAGTCAGGAAACTGACCTAAATATCATGCCTAGGTCTCATATCTGAACAGAATTAGTGTCAAACTTTTTTATTCCAAAGCAGCAATTATCAGTGTATATCCTGTCACATGATGTGCCCAAGATATATTTTAAACCAGTGCATTATCAGATGCAGTAATCTTTTAATTGGTTTAAACATTTGAACTATATCAGCTCTTATTGAGTACTAAACAAACTAAATTTGTGAGATCAGATGATCTCTGTGAATATTCAATGCTGCTGTTGAAAATGAAACTTTATAAAAATAGGTAGCTGGCCAGATTTTTCTGTGGGCCAAAGCTTGTCAACCCCTGAACTAAATGTTGTGGCTCTTGAGTGTTTGAAAATGGAGCTGGAAATAATACTGGCATGCATGGTACCTTTTCTCTTTCCAATATATTAGCAGTCTAATGAAATATTGCCTTAGTCTTAATTTATGTTCCTCTTGTGAAGCAGGAAATAATTATTGGGCAAGTTATTTCTTAATGACTCTTGCTTTCTGCCCAGATTTATTTTTAACATATCGTCTCCTTAAAAACGTGTACCTTGTTTAAACAATTTGGTTGTATGTATTTGCATTGGACTTGAATTGCTGCATATACTACAAAATTATACACATCGTTCTTAAGGAATTTAGCATCTTTATTGGCTAGAGCTTTGCCTTAACTCAGTCTCCTTTAGAAAAGGGTTCTTGTATGCTTTTGCCTTACTATATGAGGTGTGGTACTTGGTTTCTAGCAGTACCTATACAGAGACCCTAAACACATCTTGGTGCAAGAAACTTAGCACTTCTTTACCATATATATATATATATATATATATATATATATATATATATATATATATATATCCAAGATATATTTTAAACCAGTGCATTATCAGATGCAGTAATCTTTTACAGAGACCCTAAAAAAAGGGTTCTTGTTCTAGTTTACATGGACTTTTTTTTGATATAATGTGTTTCAGTATTTTGTTAAATTTTGTTGCTGACTCCTCTTCAATTTTATGCTCTACCACATTTTGTCTAACCATTCCCAATTGAAGGTTATTTATTGGTTATGGTTTTTGGTTATTATAAATTATGCTGCTATGACCGATCATCATGGTTTCCAGTCAGGGCACATGTCTGGGTTGCACACATGTCTGGGTTGTGGGCTAAATCCCCATTGGTACGGAGGGCTTGCAGGAAGTAGCAAATCAGTGATTGTCATCATTGATGTTTCTATCTTTCTCTTCTTTTCCCTTTCTCTCTAAAATCAATAAAAAATAGTTTATGATGTTATGAACATTTGTATGCCAATCTTTCTGTGAACACTTGCTTTTATTTCTCTGGGAGTAGAATTGCTGATATATGTGTTGTTGTTGTTTTTAAGTTAAACTTTTAAAAGAAACTGTCAACCTGTTTTCCAAGTTAGTGTACCATTTTACATTCCCACCAGCAATGTGTGAGGATTTCTCATCAACATTTGTTCTTATTTGTCTTATTAATATAGCTGTTCTAGTGATCATGAAATGGTATATCATTGTAGTTTTAATTTCCATTTCCCTAATGACTAATAATGCTGAGCATCTTTTCATGTGTTTATTAACAACTTATATATCTTTGGTGAAATATCTGCTCATGTTTTTTGCCCAATTTTTGATTCAGGTTGTTTGTCTTAATAAGTTATTGAGTTGTAAGCATTTTTTATATATTCTGGATACAAGTTCTTCGCTAGGTATATGTTTTGCATATGAAGTCTTTTGGTCTTTTGTTTGTCTTTTCATTTTTTAAATGGTGTCTTTGGAAGTACAATAATTTATTTTTGATGAGGGCCAGTTTATCATGATTTCTGGGATAGAAATCTTTGGCCAGCTCAATTTCTTACAGATTTTCTTACATGTTTTCTAAAAGTTTTAGTATTTTAGTTCTTATAAATAAGTATATGATCCATTTTGTGTTACATTATGTGAGGTGATGGTTCATCTTTTTGCAAAGGACATTTTCCTCAGCAAAGTTTTGAAATGTTTGGTATACAGGTCTAACAAGTCTTTTCGTTAAATTCGTTCCTACATATCTTATTTTTTTTATTTTTTATTTTTTGCTATCATTAGTGAAATTGTATTCTAATTTTACTTTTTAGATTTTTTTTTCAGCTTGTTAATAGAAATACAATTGATTTTTGTATATTGATCTTGTATTCAACACATTTGCTGTAATTATTTATTCTAATAGTTTTGGGT